GAGTTGAACCCCCATTCTCCCACACCCCTCTATCCCCTGCCCCAAAAATCTTTAGCTGAAGACAATGTAACATCATTGACCAACCACTGGTTTCCTCAGTCAATCAGGCCTTGGTTGAGGACACATTTATTTTCCAGCACTACCCAGAGGGTTCGAAAGGCAGGTTAGACTTGATTTCTTCCCTCAAGGAGCATGTAATCTTTCTGGAGAGACAAGATATAAAATGTTGAAATAACTAGAGAGGCAATGTGTTAAATCATATACCATGGAATCTAAGCATAATAGATTCAGTGCAGGAAAATCCACCATAGGCGGGGGTGGTCAGGGAGAACTTCCCGGAAAAGGCAGAACTTGAGTTTCCTCCCAAAGTCATGGCAGAATGGAAGCCAGGGCCAGATCCTGAGTCCCAGTCAAGTGTTGTCTCACTACACAGATTGGTGCCAAAGGGAAGAGTAGATTATACATTAAAATGTCCTTTTCCTTTAAATACACCCAGCTCTTTGAGCTGCTGGATGTAATTCCCAGCAAGCAGAGGCAATCTGTGAATGTTTGTTATCTAATAGGTTCCTTCTTATGTTAGTTGAAATAACCATCACAATATCAGTAAAATCATCAAGGACAAGGCTTCAGAACAACATATTCCTTTCGTGAAAGAGCTATACTTTCTGAGGTAATACTCATTTAAAAAGGGGTATTCTTTTATGTGGCTTTCCCAAGAATGCAGCCTGGCAATTTAAAAGTCCAAGTAGTAAAGCTTCCCCTTTGGAAACCTCCTTTATATCTACCATGTGCACATTCGCCAGGCATAATGTTAAAAATATTGTGACACAAAATTACCGCCCCATCCTTTCAAGTTTGATGCAGCCAGTTTAACGTTCAATATCGCTGTTCGCAGAAATGCTTTTTGATCTGAGGAGATGTGAGACACAGCCATCCCACAGCTGGAATGTAAGGATTCTACAGAAGAGCATGGATTAACTTGAAAGTGCGGTGGAACGGGATGGTCTCATCTCATTAGTGACCAAGAGTTCACAAGAAACTCCCTATTTGTTTCAACACATTGTAAATCTGCGTCCCCAGTGTCAAACTCTGTATCTGGCATAAAGTAAGTACTCAAGAAATAAATACTGAATCAATGAAGAGCTACGATCTTTCATGATCCAGCACTTTATAATGCTTTTAGAATCCGTATTCTAACCATAATCATGTTGATCATGTGCTGTCAGGTGTGTATTAAGCACTTTGTAAATATGATCTTACTTGTTCCATACAAGAATCACGTAGAGGCAGGTATTACTCCTCCCATTTAATAGATGAGGAAACTGAGGTTTAGAGAAGGAAGCAATTTCCCCAAGTTCACACCCAGTTCCACACAATGCCTAAGCTCATGCTGCCACCCTCTGTTTACAATGCCGCTCAACCTTCAGGTGCATCAGGCAGGAATAGAGATAGGGCAAAAGCAGATGATAATAGCAGTATTAATAAAATATAAATATATATTGAGTGCTTATTCTTTTTAAGTGATATATGTATACATATATATATACACTTTATCTCATTTATTTATCATTACAACCATAAGAGGTAAGTTCTATTTACCCTCTTACACAGATGAGTAAACTGAGGCATATATAAGAATTTAAGAAATGCACTTTGGGAGGCTAGAGTGGGAGAGTTGCTTAAAGCCAGCAATTCAAGACCAGCCTGGGCAATAAGGCAGGCCTGCCTCTACAAAAAGAATTTTTAAAAAAATAAATAAATAATAAAAAATTAGCCAGGCATGGTGGCATGTGGCTTGTTGCCCCAGCTCTTCAGGAGGCTGAGGCAAGAGGATCCCTTGAGCTCAGGAGTTTAAGGCTGCAGTAAGCTATGATTGCACCACTGCACTCCATCCTGGGCAACAGAGCAAGTTTTTTTTTTTTTTT